TGTTCTGTCACAGGTTTTAAATAACGCATTAAAATTGAACATATATTTTTCGCAATATTATCTTCGAGTTTTTTTATTAATATACCAAGTGATAGGACAAGCGCGTCGTGCGCCTGGTGGTTAGCGACAAGCCTGTTCATAAAGGTGGATTTCCACCGGCAAGGCGAGACGAGAATCGAAATCTCGCCGACCTATTTCCACAAAAAATTGCCATTAATAGCTCACGCGAGCTGGCGATGACGTTGTGGATAGTGAAGATTTACTGCTGTTCAATTTTCGTCTAGCGATAAACACACAACTGAAGAATCAAATACTGCCATCCTTTTTTTTAAATCTCAAATCGTACGTACTCTGCAGAGAATAATACCCCGAGTACAATATGTAGGCAGCAATACGGTTCAATATTACATCAAGAAATATTTCAGTTCTCGCCTCTCTGATCCTCGTTAATCCAAACCATTTCCACCGAAGATACGCTAGGAGAGAATCAAATTTTGCCACACAAATTTCAATCCTCGTTGTATCTCACGTCGACAGTGAAAACGTACCTTAACAGTTGCACTGCTGCTCAGAGCTCTAATCGCAAAGATCTGAGGGCACTACCACTACACTGCGCCCGTTACCCTGAGACATGAGTTGACAAGTCTCACGTCCTCGTAATTTCACCAGCAGCCTAAAGGACGTTTTTTGTCTAAACTGCGGGCCCGTCCTGGTCCCGTCCCGGACACGGACATGTGTGGACGAGTTCATACAAAATATACGCAATGATATTTCTTTGAGCCCCTGGCGGAGCACGGCCCGTCCCCGTCCCGGGCACGGCCCGGATATGTGTGGATAGACCATTATTGTTCAAAACCGGAATGCACTAATGCTCACATTACAACTTGGCGGCAGATATAGGTAAGATGACAGTACATACTTAGACAAACTTTACAAGGAGCTCTGATATTGCTGGTAAATATATACGATTTTTTGTGTCTCAAACAACTTGATTTTAACAGTACCGGCAAAAAGTAACTCGCGGACTTAGTCAACTTAATGATAAAACAAAAACACAATTGGTTACACTTTTCTTGACGAATTTATGTGATTTATATAATTTTTAGAATATTTTGTTTATGGAATGGTACCTTTGTTTACATTTTTGATCGCCAATTCCACCGATATATTCGGAGATTATAAGCTTTTGTTTTTGTTTCGTCGACAGATTTTCTTCGTACTTACAAAATTTTATTTCTCTATAAATATGTACAGATAAATTGCCAAAAAAAAATACGTTAGATAGGTGCAGTTGGGTAAAGACTCTGCATAGCATGTGTCGCTTACCAACAGGCGTACGACTTGCACGTCCCGTCTCTTGGTATTATAAGAAAAATATACATACCATGAACATCATGACATTTAATGAAAAAAAAGCTATGTCTGTGGCAACATTCCAAAATAAATTAGCCTTCAAATAAAAAAAACGCATTGAAATCAGTCTAACTGTTTGGGAGCTACAATGCCCAGTGATGCCACAGACAGCATACGTACAGACACACACGAACACAAACAAACCTTTTTAAAAATAAAACTTATTATTGATTACATTTGTCACAGATTTCTCATTAAATCTGCCAATTGCCCATAAGCATACAAAGCTGCTCAACATTTAGAGTACCTTAATTAAGTAATAACTTACTGTTATAATTATTAATACAAAGATCGACCTCGTAGAAAAAATTCCTTCGATCCGGCCGGATTCGAACCGGTGTCTCCTAGCAAACAGTGGGAGACGCTATGCCAACTAAGCCACTGAACGAACCAGCGGACGTGACCAATTTCTCTGTGATTGTTGTTGGATCTTTGTGTTTGGTTTTCAACGACTTTTTAGGCGTAGCGCCATCTATGAGAAATCTATGAAAGTATTTTGTCACCCAGTTAGGTAACATACCTTTACAGCTACCAGTCCTGGCTAGAGATGTCGCTGTTAAGTGTAATTAAATTTTTATTGAATGTCAGAATATTTCACCACCATGATATTCAATTATTTATCGTGAAATTACTCCAACAAAGACCAAACACTTAGAAAAAATTCTAACGAAAAACGTCTTGTGGAGTAATTTAATAATTTAACTTACTGTTTTCAGAATAATTTTTAGGTTAGTTTTCTCTGCTAAATTCCAGTGGCAATTTTTATAATTTAAATGTTCAATAGAACATTTAAGTTATAAAAATTACACACTCGAAATTAAATAATACTTCATAGCAATATTCTAGAACATTCAAATAATATTGCCACCGAAATTCCGTAGAGAATAATACTTACCGAAAATTACTCTTTTTACTCATTTTTTGAGGCAACACAGGTAGAAGTTAAAAATAACAAAATAAGTCACTATACCCGGCCAAACATTAGTCCGACTATGTTGTATGGTCCCAACAAAACCTTACAATAAGCCCACAAACGAAGCAAATAAGTATACAACAAATAGCACCTTTGGTATAATATTATTATTTATTACATTGATGTATTTCTTTTAGTCCATTCATCTATTTTGTTGTTTAGTTTCAAGCTAACAACGTCGTAATCCAAAGCTAAATAAATTTAAATAATCTCAGTTTACAGAGTACTAAAAAAACCAACCACAAACGTTTGTGGAATTACATTTATTTGTCAAGTTTTATTGAAATCGGTTGCCGGAAAGTCCGCGAAACCGGATTCAACCCATACTTTGCCACCCTTGGAGGTGGAATATTAACTTGAAATTTAAATGGTACCTATAAGGAAGTTCCAATGAAAAAGTAATCATCAAAGTCGGTTCACAAATCGAAAAGAGTTGCCTCATAACAAACATACAAAAAAAAAACAAACGAATTGAGAATCTTTTTTTTTTATCAGCAGTCCAGGAAGTATTGCCACCTTACCTTAATAATAATTAAAATAAAAAAATTAAAAGAATTAAATAATTACTGCGTTCAGGTTTTGAAGGGGTGCTGGTGAAATTACAGGAACATGGGACTTACGACTTTTTTTAATTTACGACTGGATCTTCCTAGTAGGTATCGTCTACCTGTATCAGGAAGACCCGCTCTTCCATTGTTATCTAGTATACTGAAATAAATCTTAATTGGTTTCTATAATGATGTATTAAAAATTATTACAAGTTGAATAATTTGTGTAGAGTAACATAATTTTTCATGAGGTAATAATAATACACACACTATATCTAACATCACCCATTAGGGTATTCCCAAGATAATAATAATAGTAATGTCAAAGTCAAAGTCAAAGTCAAAGATTATTTATTCCATAGGTAAAATAAATTTACACTTGAAATCATCACAGCTACTGCTCGTTCACTACGCTGACCTCCCTGAGAAGAACGAGCAAGAAACTCTAGGGATTGCTCTTTTCAAATAAACTTGAATGCTATGGAATACACTTTGAATCAAATTTGTGTGGATTCTGGAGCCATGTCGTCTTTCCATACATCTTTATCTAACACGTAGTCTTCAATTTTGTAATATGATTTTTCGATCAAAATATTTTTAATGTAGTTTTTAAACTTAGGAAATGATAAACTTAATATATGCTCCGGAATCTTATTGTAAAAACGTATACAGTTCACCATAAAAGAGTTGTTTACCTTGGTTAAACGAAATCGTGGTACCATGAGTTTGGACTTAGCTCTAAGGTTAATATTATGGATATCTTCTTTCTTATTGAAATTATGTATATTTTTACGAGCATATAAAATATTTGAGTAAATGTACTGTGATGCCACAGTCATGATGCCAGTCTCCTTAAACTTTTCTCTGAGAGAAATCCGAGAGCCTAGACGGTACACAGAACGAATCGCTCGTTTTTGCAATACAAATATGGTTTGAATATCTGCCGCTTTACCCCACATGAAAATCCCGTAGGACAATATACTATGGAAGTAACTAAAGTAAACTAGTCTAGCAGTACTAACATCGGTAAGCTCACGTATTCTGCGGACTGCGTATGCAGCGGAGCTTAACCTGCTGGCCAGGGAAGATATATGTGGAATAATTCAAAATTAATCTTTTAAGCCTTGGGAGAGGCGAGAGTCTAAAATAGATATAATAATTACTGATGGGCCAAATCGAGATTCAACGAATACGAATAGTCGGCCGAATATTCGGTAAAAAGATTACCGAACCGAATATTCCGCCGAATAATTCGGTAGGGTTTGCCGCGCTTTGTTCTGAATTGTAAATTAACAAGTCGGTGCATGATGAGCGCGCGACACTTCTGCCCGCTTACCCCACCCCCGCATCAGCTATAAATGTAACCTTCACTTAATTCGTTGAATATTTCTAACTTCTAAATCGTTGTCACCAACTGTGCAATCCTTTTTATGTTAAATAACTATACATACTGTTACTTAATTTATGATTAAAATATATGTATATTAAGACTTGAATCACATTCAAATAAATAAACGAATTAAGGTTACTTCTATCACTTTTAGTTGATCTCTCACTTTGTCTTGGCAGATGTGTAAAGAAGAATCTAGGTACTAAACTAGGTTAACTAGGTACTAGGTAGGAAAAATTTAGCTACCTAAACAATTTAATTTTCCGCATTTCCGCAAGGCATGTTCGGCATTTTTACGGAATAATCGGCGGAATACGAATGTTCGGTTATTGTGTCGAACATACCGAATACCGAACATAAAGCGAATATTCGGCCCACCTCTAATAATAATAATGAAATTAATTTTCTCCGTTTCATCACAGTTGATTGATATCAACCAATTTTTTAAAACTTTTTTACAAATATACCAATGTAGATGATAAATATTTTTTTTTTGTTTATAGTATTATACATACGTGCCGAATTCACTATAAAATAATCACGTGAGGGTTTGTTATACCAAAGGTACGATATGTGTATGTATATCTACCCGCTAACTGTCGTACCTTAGACCGCGAAGCATGGTGAATAAATAAATAAAACCAGCGCTATGTACACTGATCTACCATTGTAGTACCTTCCCACTCGCTGGTAGGTTTACATTTAATACATATTCCGGACTCTGCTGCGGATAATTAACTCATCGAGTTGATCTCAAGGTATGCTACTATATTTCTTTTTAAGTTATGTAATAGACGTATGTTTAGTCAATTTCACGTCTTCATTTCGGATCAATTTAGTGTCGTAACAGTAAATTATATTTCGAACTATAGTCCCGAGGACATAATTGAAAACCCTTGCATTTTCAGTATTAAATGCTCTAAGTTTAAACAATGTTTGATTGTAAATTTTTATTGAATTGATATTGATATATATATTTGATTGATTGAAAACTATTATATATACAATTTTGAAACTGGAATACGAGTACTAAACTTCATTTCCATAAGTTCTTGTTGTATAATTGAATTTGTAAGCTATTTTTTACCGCCTTCTTTCAGTTTGTGTAGGCCAAAAAGGACTAAAAAATATGTGAATTGTACGAATCAAAGCTGCAAAAAATAGGAAGTTGCAGTGTGTTGTTGCGATGTTCGTATGTTTTTTTAAAAAGATTTTTTTAAAATTTATTGTATGGATATAAAGTCTTTCAGTCGGAAACATATTAAAAAAAAAGAAAATATCCTATGATCCTAAAACTGTGTGTGTGAACTACTTAGTGTTGTGAACTATATTCCGAAAAAAAATTACTTATGGCAATTTAAAGTTCTATCTTCAATTGGGAGCCCATATAGTTTTTAAAACGCTAGCTATGTCTTGAGGTACGAGGCCACTTATGTATTTCGTACTTGGACATTTTAATAAATACTCCCAATGAAAACGTTTTTGCCTACGTGAAATTTAAAAAAAAATTGTTTATAAAAGATCCCTGAGCTTGGTATTTAATAAGAAAGTCTAAGCTAGATTGTGATGAACAATTGAATACGAATTGTAATTTTTGTCTGTTCCAGTAAATATTAAGGAATGGTGCAGCAAGAAAACGGCGAAGGTATGGAGACTTTACCGGACCGCATATCAGCCACTTTCGCCGGAAAAACAGTGTTCATCACCGGCGGCACCGGCTTCATAGGGAAGGTCCTTGTCGAGAAACTCCTCAGGTATGTCTACCGTTGACAAGTTCCCAGGAAAGTGATACAAGAGTAGTTCTCCGACAAGCTGTTCTATATTCAACCAAGAATAGAAACGAGCAGCTATTATTATTGATACAAGAAGTTTTTGAAGAAGAACTTTAGTGACATTTTTCAGTTCAATAGCGAGTACCATAGACAATAGAATTTCAGTTCAGAAGTAAGAAAAGCGCCTTTGTGATATGAGTTACGAAAATATTGACAGGTTATAGCACGTAACCTTGATTATTTATAACGCCTCAAAAAAAAACCCTCGTACCTTCTTTCTTTTCATTACCCGACGATGGCTGGATATGAACCAATGTCCAGTTAGTTACAATTAATAATGCAAGAATGGAACACTAAGAAAAATTTTAACTGGCATCATTTGCTTGAAGACGTTGATTCTGATCCAGCCGGATTGAAGTAGAATTTTCTTAGTGTTTGATCTTTGTATTAACTTACAACAAACTAGTCGAGTAATTTCACAAAAATAACTGAATATCAGGGTGGTCAAACAAGTTGAACGTCACGTTCAAATAACTTAAAAATAGAATAATAGTCTAATGGAAAACATTATTGGCCACTGCAGTCTACATTTAAAAAAAATGAGAATTGTATTATAAGAATTTTTCATCACTATTTGGTATACATTACTGTCCTCATAATGTCATAGCGAGATGGAGTTTTTTTTTATGAATCCAAGTGACGGAATCAACAAATCGTGCTCCTGATGGCAAGCGTAAAAAAGCTTTAAATCGCAAAGATTGAGGGGCACAGCCCTAAGACATAAGTTTACCCTTCAAAACCGGAACACAGTTATGCTCGCATTATTCCTTGGCGACAGAAATAAGCGTAGTTGCAGTTAGCTTCTATTTGGGGCTCTTCAAGGCTAGAGTTAATAGGCTGTACTGGACAAACGTGTAGTCTATTTTACATTAAAAAATGAGAACCGTGTTGTAAAGCTCTTTCACCAATGCTACATATTCATCTCTGTTCTCATCATTGGTGACCTTTATTTTACAGGCGAAGAATGTTATTCACATAGAATACATTCTGTTCATTTTTTTTTAACAAAGATTAGATTACATGCGTCATCAGAATAAACAGGTATAATTCACCTTACGCAAAAAAGCTCACGTTCAAACCTGTTGTTATTATTTTAACATCGGACACTAACTAAATTAAGGGCCGGTGCAGACAACAAGCGGTAAAGCTAATGCGTCAGCACGGAGACCGCCTACGGCTGTTTGTGGCTTATTTAACGACGCAATTTTGCGGGAAAACCAAATCGTAATACAAATAACGATTAAAATTCTAAATAGGATATTATATACTTTTGTCGTTTTATAATTTGTTGATTGAGGATAAATTTTTTCTCATGACGTTATTGAGATGGCGTAAAAAATGTAAAGTTTTTTTTTATGATATCGAGTGACGAACAAGTCGTGCGCCTGATGGTAAGCTAGAAGCCTGTCCATAACAGTTGCAGTGCCACTCCGAGCATTAAATCGCAAAGGTCTGAGCTAATTTCACCAGCACCCTTACCCTTCAAAACCGGATCACAGTAATGTTGACATTACTGCTTGGCGGCAGAAATAGGTACTACCCTGGACGAACTCTTTCACAAGGAGCTCTTCTGCTGCTGAAACTGTCTAGAAAAGCGGAAAACATTTTATTAGTAAAAACATTTATTATGTTTTTACAATTATGGTAATAAAATAATACGTTTTGCGAGAAGTACGTCAATAAGAATGAATATATTCAAATCCATTTATTTCTCTGTCACCTTTGTTCTCAGGAAATTTCCTATTTTTTTGGATCTAATTCGCGTATATTCATTTTTTTCAAACAAAACAATGTTTCGTCAACGTCACGGCGGCGTTGGTTTTTGTACAGACGGCAGCATATCTAGCTATATATTGACGGGTCTTATTCCGTGACTTTGGAGGTGGAATTCGAACAAAAATGCGTAGGTTTATGTTGTTACTGTACATTAGACTTTATTATTTTTAATGTCGGATGAGTAGTGCCGCGAAAATTTTGTAAACATGTTGTATTATGTAGTATCATCATTTATTTGTTTGTATTCTATTAAGAGTTCTCATATTATATTGTTTTTATCAAGGGGCTGACATTTTTTTATATACTACCAAGTGACGTGTGGTTTAAATCGCAAAGATCTTAGGGGCACTGCCATTGCGCCCGTCACCCTGAGACATAAGTTGACAACTCCCATTGTGCCTGTAATTTCACCAGCACCCTTAGCTTGGCGGTTGAAATAGGTAAGGTGGCAGTATTTCTCTGGACGATCTTTTTCACAAGGTGCTCTACTGCTACTAATATAATGATCAATGTGTCAAAAAATGTTCAGTATTGATCGAAACAACTAGAGGCAGTTCGAATGCTGCAAATGCTTATATGCGAAAACCGGTGTATGTCGATGTATCGTTCGCTGGTTCTTGAACCCGAGTTTTTCGACCCCGGCCGAGTCGTGACACGGCGCCGAGAACAGCCTCTTCTATTTAAAAAATCATAATTCATCTTTTCTAGAATCTAAAATAGATATTTGTTTCCTGAATGTTTGACCACCATGATAGATTATTTAATTATTTTTGTGACATTACTTCACTAGTTCATAATAATTATTAATACAAAAATCGATCATTAAGCTGGATTCGAACCAACGTCTTCCAGGAAACCGTGTTAGACGCTATGCCAACTAAGCCATGGAACGAATATTCCCACTTTAGGAACTTTTCTTTGTGCTTGTTGCCACGCAGATTTTTTTTTTGTTTTCAACGACTTTTTGCCGTAGTGCCATATGTGAGAAATCTATGTATCCAAAATAGATTATAATAAATAATAATAACCATCGTCATGAAATATTGATGAAATTACATACTACACGACACTAAGCATATAATTATGGCGTTTGAAAAATTCCTAATTTTCGCAATTTTATTGTGGTTGAAAACAAAATTCATGTGATACACCATCGCAGTACGTCTGCCGGATGAAACCTATGATCAAAATTGGTTTTTATATTTATTAATATTAAGCAATTAAGCCCAGCGATCGCGCACCAATAATGGATGTGGCGAATTTTTAATAAGAAATAATAAATAGTTCTGTGCTATTTATTGATGAAATAAAAATAGTGATGTCCGAAAAGATCGACTTCACTGACTCACTCCGTAGGTCATCGATGTCGATTACCTATGTATTTATTTAAAATGTCTTTTTTAATAAGTAATTTTAATAAAAAATTATGATAGAATCATTGACTTACAATTATATGGACGTCGGGTCCGCGCTAAAAAGTGTCCGAACTTATAGGGCATTAAAATCCTATACAGAGCGTCATTCACGCTTTAGTCTTCGTTTGTTTCTTCTGACAGCGAAGCAAGCAAAATTAGACAGTACTGCGATGACATTACAATTTAAATTCAACGTTTTATCTGTTTCATATTCCTTTAAATGTCACTACGTTTAAATAGGTTGACTTGGGACATTTTTTTCGTGGTTTTTGTATTAGACCCGTCGTCCATTTATTTGTAAGTCAATGAATAGAATGATAGATTTATTACAACACAATACAAGACATTTTTAGTAGCAGCAGGGCTCCTTGTGAAAGAGTTCGTCCAGGAAAGTACTGCCACCTTACCTATTTCTGCCGACAAGCAGTAATGTGAGCATTACTGCGTTCCAGTTTTGAAGGGTTTTGACGGGCTGGTGAAATTACAGGCACATGGGACTTGTCAACTTATGTCTCAGGGTGACGGTTTCAATTTAAAGCTCTGAGTGGCACTGCAACTGTTTTGAATAGGCGAGTGGCTTACCACCTAGCGCAAAAATTAAAAAATATATATAATACTAGGCAGAGAAAATGCCACGACGTGTAATTGCACCCAATGGTTTTGGTAAGAGCAGTCCAGCCTGTTGGCAATAACGGTCAGGATGCCATTAGAGCTGTTGCGTACAAGCATCATCAGGGAGGCGGCGCGAATATGTCAGATGTTCTATAATGTCGTGACAGCCCCATTAGCATCCTGAAAGCGTTGTTGTGTTGTACCCTCAATGTATTCAGGGCTCTCTGCGATTACTTCATCCACAAGCTGCTCTTGTAAAAGTTTTGGCAATACGCTTTATAGTATTTTTTTATGGCCATATTCATTGTGTATGGACGGTAAATAAGAAATTTGTAACGAAAGGGTCTACCAGTAGCCCAAGGCGGAGGCTAAGGGCTTAAGTACCTCGAGTTTTGTATTTTTTACCGTCCGTGATACATGCAATGTTTTTCATCACATATCCGAGGAAATAAATACAATGTTTATTTCTTGTATGAATAAATATGGTTCATTATCATCATATATATGGTTGACAACACAACAATTATGGATTTTGCAAATGACGGGCTTTTTGTTTTTTTTTTTGTCAACAGATAACAAGCTAGCTATTCTTCCATGGATAATTGTAACTCGAACTAAAATGTTGTAAAAAGCAAAGACGCACACAGCCGTAAGGGATTGTATAAAAAATTTGCTAAATTTTTATACAGAAAAGATTTAATTATAAGAAATTCTTAATAATAAGTATCTAAGTAGTATGTGGCTGAATGTGTGCTGAATGATGCGAATGTTTTAATTTTGAACTTAACTTGCTTGAACTTCAACCTGGCCTATGTGTAGAAGTATCTCGCGTTGAAAATTATAAAAAGAACACCTTACCGACAATGGCTGTAATGGGACGAAAAAAGGCCCTAGGGTTTTATTTGGGGCATTATATTCAACTTAGCCACCATGTAATCATACTATTTACGAGCAAGTGTGATAAAATAGTTATTTTTGATACAAGTGCGGAAAGTTAGTCATTATTCACGAGTCTCGAGGCTTCTTGGCCCGAGCCAGAGGCGAGGGTCAAGACGCGAGACAAGTGAACATGACAAATCCGCACGTGTATCAAACGACGTTTTTTAATACATTTGCGAAAAAACTACATTGAAAATAAAATAAAACAGTATTTAAAAAAAACTCATTTTCTGCTAGTAAATTAAAATAATGAAATACAACCACTGCAACCATTATTTAAAAGTCTATGGAAATCTAGTTCTAACGTGCTGTTTTTGTTTATTTTCTGTAATATCGGTTTTTAACCACTTTTCTTATTATGAAGTCCTGGTACTTTTGTTTAAACTTTTTAGGAACCCGTGCACGGTAGTGAGATATAATTTATCTGTAATACATAGAACAAATATATACATAAAAATCTCGCCTGTCACCCATTCAGGGGTAGGCAGAGACTGTGGACCTCCACTCGATACGTTCATTATATAGTATTTGTAAGTAAATATAAGTTTTAATGACGAATGACTTACGTCACAAAGCACATAAATATGAAATAAATATACAATCTCTTTAGTTCTATGTTTAAGACTTAAAACAACAGTAAATTAAAAAAAAAACTGGAAAAGTAAAAAGCACTAGTGCGAGAAATCCAACTTTCCGCACGATTTGTAGTGCGAAAAATACCACGTTTTGAGCAACTGTATTAAAAATAACATTAACAGACATAAGCATGTCCGTTTCTTTTTTGTGTCCTATAAGCTTAACGGTGCAATGGATTTTTGTTTGTGAGGTATTTTTAGATTCGACTTAGTGCCTGGAGTACCTATTAAATTCTATAAATGCCACTTACAACCTACAAATAGCAAGAAAAACAACTTTGATCCGGTTTTATTGATCGCCTAATTTTATTTTATTTTTATTGCGGTAATTACAGAACAGGAAAACGTTTCAAGGTTATCTAGGTTTTTTTAAAGTGGATTCAAAAAAGAGAGCGCATGTTAGGCCTAGTGCGAGGCTATGAGTGTGTGCATTAAAATAAATTTAGTAACTGGACGAATAGACTGTGCACCTGGTGAGAACACGCCTATTCATGACAGTTTCAATGCCACTCAAAGCTTTCAATCGCAAAGATCTTATTTCATTCCATATGTCTGTAGTTCCACCAGCAACCCCAACCTTTAAAATCAGAACGTAATAATGCTTATATTACTGCTTGGGGGCAGAAATATGTGGCAGTATTTCCCTGAACGAAGTCTCTCACAAGGAGCTCTACTACTAAGTACTGTACATTGAAAATGAAACTATCTGAAATCGTATACATTTGTTTTTTTTTCAAACTGTTTCAGAAACTTAATGGGGTTAATATATTGAATAAAAGACGAAAGCTGTGTATTACAACTTTATTACAATGTCACACTTAACGCACAAAAATGCCTGATAAAAAACTAATAGCAAACATTTACAATTATGTATTATAATACATTTTAAAGTACTTAAAAATAAAGGCGCTGTTGCCCTTCTTTAGATCCACGGAAACAATCAGGGCAAGTATAACCCTGGTCGTGAGACCAGGTACATGGAGTGCGGAGTTCATGAGTGGAGTAGAGTTGAGCCGCAACACAAACGAACCAACGTTTCGGGTTCTTTACATGTCCCATGATCACGGCTGACTGGGATGGTATTATTCATCAAACTGATGTCTAATATTAGTGTAAACCTGATGAAATGTTGCAATTTACGATACATACATACGACTTGTAAAACATTTCAAGAATATTATTTTTCATTATTATAAATATACTTATTACTTGTAATAGTACGACATTGTATATGGCGGTAAATAAGAAATTATTAACGAGAGTGTTAGAAGCCTATACACACGTATACAATCATATTTATGGGAAGAAAACGGGGCACTACGTAGCCGAAAGATGTATAATTTTTTTTACGTACATCTTCCTTGTATAACACAAAATACGCAACTGACGAAACTGTAAACTTAATGTGACACATGCTTATGATAGACAAGTAGACATTTATTATGGTCAGGTGCGGGTAACACGAGGAACATTATTTTATTTTGAATCAAATGATTTGAGCTCTAGAAAGAACAAATAGTCTTATAAGAATTATGAAGCACGCCTTTGTTTATCAACTTTACAACATTACGCTAAATTCAATACTTACGATGTATTTGCCGAAAACGTGCAAAAGAGTTGTGCTAACGTTTATCTTCCACAATAAGGTGGGGTAATAGGAATCATAAATCGTATTTCATAAAAAGGTAATGTTTAAGTACCTCGTGTTCTCGCTATTTCACAACTGTCAAATTAGTTTTTTCCGCCTTTTTGATTTGGAACATTGTAGCGACATCTCTTTTAAATAACTTAAACTAATTGTTAATCTGTTTTATCGACATTTTTTTTTAATTACACAGACCAAATCGTGATTAATTACAAAAACATTAACACGGTTTTACTTTACTCCCTAAATACATTTGTATGAGTGTTGCAACTCCTCCAACATAATATGTAAAATAACAATTTTATTAAACGTAAACAATGTACGAAATATAATGAATTGAATGAAATAAATATAATTAAGGTGGAATTAACAAAATTAATATTAACAAAAACTTATACAACAAAACCGGCTTACCGCCGCAGCCGAGCGCGCGCTGTTACTAGGAAACCTGTTCTACTCTCAGCACTATACAAGCTGTTCAAAATTACATAAAAGAAGAGAAAAAAACAAAGATAATAATCATTTCGGTGGGATACTGACTCATAGACTATAGTGCTAAACTCTTAGATTATACAATATGACTTTAAGTCCCTCTTTCCCCGTGTTCCTCCGACTTGACCAAACTCTAACTACCTTCGTAATGTGTTATATACTTGTTTTGTTTCGAGATACTTCAAATGTACCATTTCTGAGCATATTTATATATTTGATATATTATATATGCCATATCTGATATATTTTGTAACTGTAAAGTGACCAGTATAACTTTTGTGTTTCAGAAAATGTCCAGACATCGTCCAAATAATCCTTTTCATTAGAACGAAGAAAGATAAAACGCCCCAACAACGACTACAAATAATCTTCAATGATCCAGTGAGTACCGCATAGTTACTGGCTTTAATAAAGTTAAATAAAATACATCAGTTGGACCACTATGGGTATTTATTGTTAAAACGAGGCACAGAGATGGCGTAAAGTGAAAGTGAAGGACGTGAAAATTAAAAAACCACCATTTTTTTGTTTTTATTCGTTCAATCAATCTTCATATGTAACTTATTCATTCATTCCATTTATTGGTTTGAAAAGCAGACAGCGGCTGAGACGTGCCCAAACTGCTGAATAAATTTTGATGAATTTAAGATAGATTCAACCTACGAGAAGGGGAAAAATAGGGTATGAAAGTTTGTATGGAGAACCGATAAAACTATGAAAATTTATTTAGTACAGTAAGCTAGTCGAACTTTTTTATTCTACGCAGACAAAATCGCAGCTAGGGATGCACATTACAATTCGATTTTTGAGAAGATCGATTGAGTGTATACGATCTTTTAGCAAATCGATCGTTATGAGGAATCGAATAGTCTAGATCGTGTGCTTAATTTAAACAAAACAGTCTCTTCCTAAACCCCTACTGAACCGTAATCCTATTTTATGTTGGTCTGCTAGAAATGTAGTTTGGCAACATCTAAGTACATTAAGTCTTAAATATTTAGCGATTGATGCTACTTTTGTGCCATCACGTCTTTTATCACAGTCTAATATCACTCTAAATTAAAATCGTAACCAACTGAGTTTGAAACGATTCAAGAACATATATTATTATTTTCCGATCTGTGGATCGATTCAAAGCAAAACATAGTGCATCCCTAATCGCAGGCACCAATAAAATTAGTTAATAATAAAACCTTCTTTATTCTCTAGTTGTTCGAGAAAGTAGCAAACATGCGTGGAGGCTTAAACAAACTGCTAGAGAAGATCAAGGTAGTCGAAGGAGATGCTTCTGCGCCTGATCTCGGGATTCGCTCCTCTGACCGCCAGTACATTACTGATAATGTCGACATCATTGTACACGCCGCTGCTACCGTCAGGTAAGAGAATGCGCTTCGCGCATACGCAAAGATCTGTCGCGTACGCGCAGGTATTATACTTTGAGTTGGATTTCTTTGCGTTGCGTGAGTTTGATACCTACTATCTACTAGCAAGCTTGATATTCCCACGCTAGCAACCTGTCCTCCACAAACGTTCCCTACGTTTGCAGAGGACAACACCCTGACCAATCACAGAGCAGCAGCGATCACGCGCCCATTAGAACTATAGATGGGAAAAACTGCTTATTTTTTTAAACGTTTGAACGTTATTCTTTTTTAAAAAAGCGTGCTTTTTTAAACGCTTTTTCACATAAACGCTTTTTAGTTTGACGCTTAAAAAGTCGTTTACAAAAACATTTAAGCGCATAGACTTTATGTTTAAAAAAGCTTGCAACGTTATGTTGAAATAATTTGTTTAGGAAACATAGATGGCGCTACTTGAAACCTAGGCAAGTCACGTTGTAAAAAATGAAATTATTGAGTATCTATGGAACTGACCTGTGACAAGCGTGCTTATGCGCTTATTTGAAAAAGCAGACTTTCTTAAGTGCTTATCTTTTAAACGCCCACCTCTACTCAGAACTTTTAATCGCAAGGATCTTGGGGGCACTGCCACTGTGCTCGTCACCCTGAGACATGAGTTGACAAGTCCCATGTGCCTGCCCTTAATAAATGATTTATATTCTATTCTATTTTATTCTATTCTAAAACCGAGAAACGTGCGTGTACTTACCATGTTGAGCGGATGAAGTTCTATCTTACCAGCGCCGATGTCACGCAGGTCGTGTTCGCAGATCGTTTGAAAGCGAGATCTGATGGCGCGCTTGCGACCCTTTATGTAGTTTTAAATATTATCCCCGCTATGGTACGACCTTTGCCTACACCGGCACCATCGCCTGTCAAAGAAAAATTTCAAAAGATTGAAGACTGGAACTTGGAAGCGTCAGTAGTTCGTTCACATTAAAAATGCAATAGGAAATTTCCCGATGATGTAGTTTTCATCATTACATACATACATATACTTCACGCCTTATCCCCATCGGGGTAGGCAGAGACAGTCTTCCATTTGCGTCGTCTTTCATCTGTAACAAGCCTTTATTTATTTGATAATATTTAATCATAATAGATATAATAAAGATCATAATATTTAACTAACATGATATTTTTTTGTGAAAATACTAGTGTCCGATTTTTGTATCAATAATAATGTCTTTATACGTTCCACTGCTGGGTACAGGTTCCTCAGAGCCGTGTTCCTACAGTATCTGCCGCTAGGGTTAGAGGACTTTTTGTTAAGAATAGCAAAACTTAGGTAATCTTGACTATGATGTAACTCAAGACACGAACTCTTGTTTATTTAGATTTGATGAACCCCTGAAGACTGCAGTGATACTGAACGTCAGATGCACCAAACTGGTACTCGAGCTCGCCAAAGAATGCAAACATTTAAAGGTGAAATGAACATACAAAATCTATTTTACGCACCTACATCACGCTTATATCCCACTGGAATATTGTTACGTTCTCGATAAATCTCTTTCTCCTCTTCTACTTGCATTGGTCTCTTTATACATGTTTTTCTTGCTGCCTTATTTAAGTACATCACCTATCAGTGGCTGTAGCATGGCTTACAATGTGTGACAAATCCTTAATAAACCTCCCCGTGATATATTTATTTCAGTTGATAAAGCTATGTTGCCATTATTAAAATTTATTTTTTTATTGCGAATATTGAATCAGTAAGATACCGCACTAGAGTCATTCGTTCTTTCGTTTGTTTGATAATAAACTATTGTTATACATTTCGAAGAACAAGGATAACGATATGAAATTGCGAATATAGCTATTTTTGTCGTTTAATCATCGCCACGAAAACGAAGAAACAAAGAATTCGGGGTTTTTGTAGTTTCAGTTTTTACATATTTTATAATAATAATAATAATAATAATAACGCACACACTCAACATAGCTCCGCACTAGGGAAACCTTGTGTCGCGGGTGCCATGGACACATACATAGACAAACACAAATTACACCCAAACTCACGAGAGAAATAAATGTAGGCCATACAAATATTTCTCCCGGCCCGGGAATCGAACCTAGGACCTCTGCGTGGCAGTCCGGCATGGTAACCGTTCGGCCACGGAGGCAGTTAAATTTTATATTGTATTAGCTATTGTTTAAGTATTTCTAATTACTCTCACGTATTGAACTGTTTTAAAAATGTTCTCCTCACCTTCTTCCAATAATATATATTTATGAATTTGTTTGTTTTTATAATTTCTTTTTATTTCGTTTTTCGCACTTAATTTTTACGTTGATAAAATTACTGCGCAGAACTATCTAAATGTTTTAAAATCAGCTGTGATCTTGTGGCCATGTTTGGCACTGCGATATTCTTTTGCAGCCATTGGTCGACGCGCTCGCGATGTGACAAAAATATAATGTCACGATCGCCGCCGTATCAGCTAGTGTGATAAAATTTTTAAATACCAGTTTATCACTAAAATTTTACAACTAATTGTGGATATAATAGCTTTATCGCGGCGGCATGCTACGGGCGCCATCGCTTCCACACGACCAGAGCATTTTCTTTTCTATTACGATTAGGTACTACTTATTTTTCACACCAAAACGCTCTTACTGCACTATAGATTCTTAGGCTTTCAATTAAAGACATTAACAACGCCGAAGTACCAGTAAGTATAGTTTTAGTTTTTTTGCGGCCTATATCATACTAAGAGTTTGTCTTTAACATACATACATAAGCTCACGCCCTAGTCCCACAGGAGGGATAGGCAGAGACCACGGAACGCTATTTTACTCTATCCTGACACAACTCTCGAGCCTCACATACAACTACCCTTTTCATACAACTTCTTTTATTCTTGTCACTTCGGATCCCAGCCTTTTTGAAGACATCACTGATCCAGTCAATGTAGATCCTTCTAGGATGTCCTCTTAAAACCCTTCCATCCACATTCGCATTGCGACGTGTCGCAATTGATGATGCTGATTTTAATTGCAATTGATTTTTTAATCTGATTGAATTTCTGATTGAAGTTTAATTGATTAACGCCCAACACTGTAGCCCGAATACATCTCTTTTGCGCATTGAATATGCGTTCAATGTGCGGTGCATTTCCCCAAAAAACGATTCCATACCTAAGGTTGATTGCTACACAACCATGGTCGGCGGTCACTAAAGTGTTTAAATTTACTATTTTCGATAGCGTAAACAATGCATAAGAAAACTTTAGTATCTTACCACATACATATTCTAGGTGTGTTTGCCATTTTAGATTATTATCTATATGTAAACCTAAGAACTTTATTGTCATTGTTTCACCAACCTCCTTGCTTTCATAGACCACTCAAGCTTGCATAGGTTTATTGTATCTTTGTTTAAAGTTCATAACTTTAGTTTTGTCAAGATTTATAACTAGATCATTATAATAATAATAATTTTTTGAGATATCATAAAAAACCATAATTCAGTTTTAGTATATTGAAATTGTTTAGTGATTTTTCAGCTATGCATCGATAGGTTAAGTTCCGATAAGTCGAATACGTTAACTAATTTGAACTGTTTTTAAAAGAGAATCTTATGCTATTTAAAACGAATATATGACCATTTGTCACTTACCCGCGTTTTTGTTAGTGGACGCCAGATCTAGTCAAAAGCCCCTTTTACACAGTCACTCTATCGCGCGTGATCTGCACGTGCGTGCAAGCCTGGACGCGCAATCGTGCGCGATTACCTGTTTAAAATTTTTTAAGCTAACGTTTTTTCGTTCATTTATTGTTTTTATTACAACAGAAAGAGCGTCCTTGTAAAGACTAGACCACATGAAACTGGCACGTGTTGGAGTGCAATCGCGCAGTGTTTCCTTCTTTCCAACGTCTTTACATGCACGTTCAATCGCGCATGATTGCTGTATAACGCGTGATAGAGTGTCTGTGCAAAGCCCGCTATTGTTGGACACATTGCTACTATTTATCCCAGACCTTTCTTTAACAGAGTTATATTGT